TTGGTTGGTGGTTACAGAGAATCATTATTAATACGACAAATCAATGTAAAAAACCTTAGAGAATCGCATGAACTCCAAAAGGGGATCTCAAACCAAGCCGAAATGTTTTAGTATATCACATGCAAATCTCAAAGTTTAAGTAAATTCGATTGCTATGAGCTAGGTAGCTAATGTCGCTTTAAAAGAATTTTGTTATTTGAAGATTGTAAATGTTTTATTGTTTCTCTTTTATATATTACACAGCTTTTACAGACTTGGGATGTTTAAGAGCACAACATACATGTCTATTGTTTAGTCGTTGTTTTCTTTTTTATCGTTGTGTTGCTTTCACACTGACGTATATCCCTAATATCTTTTTATTTATATGAAATGTGGGCCTTTTTATACAAAGTTCACATGTCTGTTGCAGGTCAATGGACTAGTTATTTAATTTGATATTGCTACAATAAAGTCATCATGAAGATCATGGTCACATTTGATTTTTAAAAGCCAGGGGTTAATGGTCGAATTTAGTGTCACCAAATCGTTGTCACTAAAAACATAAACCATACACGGTTTGTTGTTTCTGTCTGAATTTGATTTGAATGATTATAATAAAGAAAAATTAATGATGACCACTATTGATTTTTAAGGTAAATGCTGGAGATCATAGGAATTGAGTCCAAATCCGTTTCAGAGAATCAATTTATATTCTGCTTTAAGCTTTGAAGACATTTAAAACGTAAAAATAGACATCTCTCGTGTTTCGCACTCATTTGGCCGAGTGGTAAAAGGTAAAATAACAAAAATACCGAACTCCAAGTAATATTCAAAACGGAAAGTCCCTTATCCCTTATCAAATGGCAAATTCAAAATCTTAAACACATAAAAACGAATGGGAAATAACTGTCATATTCCTGACTTGTTCTAAGGTTAAGGCTTTTATCACATATAAGACTATATGTTTTGGCATTTTTGTCATTCATATCGACAATACACTATTGATATGCTGTCGAGTGTCTTTCTGTCATGTATATATTTACAATTATATCCTCACGAGACTGATCACCGAATTTGAATTTACCATGAACAACACGACGGCTGCCTCATTGGGAGCAGAAACATCTACATACCATTTCGGAGCACATGAGATCAATCCCAGTTTTTACGGGTTTGTGATGATCCGTCTTTAGTTTTTTTATGTTGTGTTTTGTAAACTGTTGTTTGTCTTTTCGTCGTTTTTTCGATTTCTGTCATGGTGTTGTCGATTTCTCTTCGAATTTTGAATTCAGATCTTTCCCTTTTGTTATCTTACGCCTCTTTTTTGCTTGATCTTGTGGTAAGACATATTGATCATAAATAAACAGAGATATTGGACATTGATCAATTAGATAGACAGTAACCCAACAATATAATAAAAAAGAAGATATCTGATCATCAAATAAACAATTTCTCAGTATATTATTATTTCATAATTTTGATTTGTTTAATTCTATAAAGTGGTTTTCGAAAAACATATTGTAGTTCTTTCTGAGATCGTTTTTTTTTTTATTGAACTAGTAGGCTAAAACATAGAAAAAAATCTACAAAAATAAATAAACATTTACCCATGTTCAACAATGTACACAAAAAATCTTATTGGGAGATCATAGATCAATATTCCAATGTTTCACAAAATGATTATCCCTTAGGGACAACTAATACACGGTCTAGTATATACGACGGATAATCCCGAAAATAATGGACAATTGGATGAAAGGAAAGGTGTTTTACACATAAATGTGTTGTTGTTGATGCGAAAAATCGGTAGGGACATTTTATTTTTTTAATTTCTCCTTTCTATTCTGACATTTCTTTTTTCCAGGTTGACATTTTTCGCTTCCAGGTTGACATTTCTCACTTCAATATAGAATAATTGGGAGCTGTTGTATGAGTGCCAATGATACAGCTATCCACCTAAGACAAAATGGCGTACATTTTAGCAATTTTAGGTCTCCATTCGGCCTTCATCAATGAGTGAAAACCATACCGCACAGCAAGCTATAAAAGGCCCCGACATGACAAAATGTCAAACAATTCAAACGAGAAAGTTAACGGCCTGATTTATGAACAAAACAACAAACAGAAATTGATATGGTATACAGCAACAAACGACAACCACTAGATTACAGGTTCCAGACTTTGGACATGCACATATAGAATGTGGCGGGGTTAAACATGTTAGCGGCGCCCAACCTTCTCCCTAACCAGTGACAGTGATGTAACAGCACAACATAAGAACAAACTATAATGTTTACAGCACATTTAAAGCAATGAGATATGTTTTGTATTAAAAATCATATCAATTGATGATATTCGGAAAAAAATTATGAACATAAGTTTGATCTCCGAGCGACAATAGATCAAACATCTTCGAAAAAAATGAGGGAAATCAATAAACTAGATTTTTGTTTCCCTACTTTTTTGAATGTCGATTTGATCACAGGGCAATAATTCAATTGAAAAATATTGACATATATCAATTTACTTATGTCACATGCAAAGAAACCTCTTTTTTAACATGATTCTGAACTTAAAAATCGATATATCTAATAGTCATTGGTATCATATTTTGCTTTTTTTAATAACTGTAGGTGTCCTATTTTGCATTTCTGATAACTGTATATATCTTATCTTGCCTTTCTGAAAACTATCGGTATTCTATCTTGCCTTTCTGAAAAATGTCGGTATCCCATCTTGCCTTTCTGATAACTGTCGGTAGCCCATCTTGCCTTTCTGATACATGTAACTGTCGATATTAAATCTTGCCTTTCTGATAACTGTCGGTATCCAATCTTGCCTTCTGATAACTGTCGGTATCCAATCTTGCCTTTCTGATAATGGTCGGTATCCTATCTTACCTTTCTGATATTGGTCGGTATCCTATCTTGCCTTTCTGATAATGGTCGGTATCCTATCTTGCCTTTCTGATAATTGTCGGTAGCCCATCTTGCCTTTCTGATAATGGTCGGTATCCTATCTTGCCTTTCAAGTAGGTGTCAGTTTCCTATCTTGCCTTTAAAATGAATGTTTGTATCATATCTTGCCTTTCTAATAACTGTCGGTTTTCTTTTATTGCCTTTTTGATAACTGTCGGTTTTCTCTGACATCCAGCAACTGTCTTATTTTGGTTAAAAAAAAGCTATGGAACTCCTTTCTCAGTTATCAAATGACTGTCAGCCGCCATTTTGTGGACATCTTATTGCTATTGATAACCCTTTTCAATGCCATTCTAGTATAATATCGTTGTATTTCAAATTTGACAAGGTAGGGTTTTCAGAGATAACAGAACTTGCCAGACTATCATTCCTAGCCTTGTAGATTTGTGTATGTTATGTAATTTATTGACCGATCTATTACGTAAAAATCTTTGACTTATTAAAAAAACTAATCAGGCTTACTGATGAGGTTAGAATTATTTAGAAAAATTTAAAATTTGAAGCAATAATGTTTCTTCTGCTTACTGCACTGAAGTTCTATATAGTTTATTCTATACATTGCTAAAGATTGTGTCTTCCTTTACTGATTATTATGTTGTTGTGTGAAATTTGATATGACGTGCAGCTGCCGATAGCCTCGTAAGGACGACACGTTTACCCTACACCTTCTTTTATTAATATTGACAGAATTCACAGCATTGAAATCACAAAAACTGTCAAATTCTTAACCCGATAAAAGTACAAATTTATTTCGACAACTCCTAATAAAAGTTATTCCAATAGATTTTAAAAATTGGGACAGCCAAAACACATGTTTGAATCCGTTAGTTAACTGCGGATGGTGGCTCCTTTCCGTTAAAGTACAGAAAATAAATAGATTATATCATTGATATAATGTAGATTTCTTAATATATAAAAACTCATCACAAGATGTATCACGCTCATAATTAATTACGCCAGACGCGAATTCGTCTACGCAAGTCTCATTAGTGGCACATACGGTCAAGTGATATAAAAATACGATGATTTGATATGATAGCGACAACTCTCCACCAGAAACCAAATGACACAGAAGTTAACAACTGTAGGTTAAACATGCTAAGGCTCAAGATTGAACAAAGGGTAAAATGTCAATACTGTCTATAATTTTGAAATCCGTTATAGAGCGAGATCTGACAGAGCTAAAATTTCAGAATGACAAAATTTAGCAACTGCCCAGTTTGACTAAAACTGTATCTGTTGTATCCTTTATGTCAAGTTCGATGGAATAGATGCAGTCAACATAGTCCATACTAATATTTCGAAACTTTATAATAAGTTTATCAGCTTCATAAAGCATGTCAAATCTTAAAATCACTGTATAAGTAACATGTCATGAGAAAATGTTTTCGGTTTCAACTTCGTTTGAATTACAGAATTGGTAAAGTCTGTCTTTTTAAAAAACAATAAACGAGAAACAGACATCGCCGACAGCAACTAGCAATAAGTACTGAATTTCATGTTCCTTAAGAGAGTAGATATAAGAAGATGTGGTATGAGTGCCAATGAGACAATTTTCCATCCAAGTCAAAATTTATAAAAGTAAACCATTATAGGTCAAAGTACGGCATGTAAAGAAAGTAATAGAATGTTATATTGTGTGTGATCACTCTTACCTTCCCTACCATGTAAATGTGATGTAGTAAAAACAAACATAAGAACCAATTGTCAAACGACTTACAAAAAGATAAAAGATGTCAGCTGGAAATGCAGTTGTTAATTTATTTGAACAAACGGTGCATGTCTGACACTCAACTTCGATTTAAATGTATTATCATGTTATTGAAAGTATGAAGGCCGATACACACAACAATTTATGTACATATAAACGTAATTTCTAATAGATGTATTGCTTTTGAATTAAAGATTATTGTTAGCATTCTCTTCTATTTAAGCATGTTGTGGTGTTGAAAGAGGAAACTACTGCTTATAACGGATTGTATACAGATAGTATATACATATATCATATAACCAATTAGTACTATAATCCAATATATACTAACATCCTGCCTTCAAGTACTTATGACTTTTGACTGTGGCGCTTAAAAAGGACTTTTGTGGTCATTATTTGAATGGAAACTTGCAAAATCCATTTAAGAATATGAGGAATATAATTTTGCAATTAATGTTATCATTTTTATTGTTGGAAACTTTGCAAGGTAAGAAAATCTGAGTGTATCTTTGTATAGATGGTCATTGTTTAATATACATGTATTTTTTTTTTCGTGCTTTGCATTTCATTTTTCTTTTGCAAAAAAAAGTATTAGAAAGAAATACTAAACTCCAAGGTAAATTTAAAAAAGGGGAAGATTATAAAACCTTACAAAACCAAACGCTCGGATATATCGACAAACCACGGAACGAATGGAAACAACTATCATATTCCTGACTTGGTGCAGGTATTTTGAAAATGGTAGGTTACACCTATCAAAACACCAAGCAGACCATCATATTTTTTTTTGTCGCCTAAACACGCTTATATGAAAATCCAAATAACACGTTATGTTTGAATCGCTTTCAAGATTATAGAGATAAAGAAACCTTCACTAAATTATTAAAGACCTCTGAAGTGACCATGCTGGACAAACACCCTGCGTAAGAAAATAAGAGTGTAGAACAAATGGTTAAGTCACCTTTACACGAAAGAAATAGTAGGTTTTTGAAATATTATGCATGTAAATAAGTCATGTTCATATTTTTCAGAATTGAATTGTGATTAATATTATAAGACATTATTCCTCGTCTATTTGGAATCATTTATGTAAATTAAAAGATTTTCACTAAATTAAATTCATAGAGATTCTAGTCGGAAGTGAGAAACGCCCATGAGATGGTGGATTATAATGTATTTTTAATTTTTCATAATTTATAGTTTTTTTTAAGAAAATAGAGTGTGCGCATGTATATTTTACCGTACATTTCTTTTCAAAGTATTTATAAATATTGCTTAATAAGTATCTTTTCTGCATAAGCGGCATATAGGTATCTTGTCGTTTACAAGACTTAAATTCTGAGGTGCACTTGTCTTTTTAAATAATCTGAATGCATTGTTACTGGTTGTGATCATGTAACATGAAAACTCCGGAAACAGAATAAGACTATAGATATACTGATTATTAGTTGAGACATACAGTGCCTTTCACCTCATACTTGACATTCAGCTTCCATATGTACATGCATTATTATGTTTACTGGAAGTTACAATTAACTATATAATGAAATGAATATAAAAATATATAGAAACACCAAAAAACAAAAACAAACACAAAAGACATCAAATGGGCATCAAAACATGCAAATGAACAATCAAACACGTTACAATTAACATTATTCGACTTGTAAAGAATATTTCGCTGTATTCCACGTTGACGTTTTACCCATAGTGTGCGGTTTAAATATAAGCTATAAACATGACTGACTGACTGACTATCGGAAGCATATTTTATTGAACTGATGAATTGAAATATTTCTAACAAACGTAATATTATATCTTTACAAACTTTCTGTTTTAAATCAAAATCGTTCCTCTGAATTTGTTTCTCGCGATGGCATTTTTTTTATAAAAGCTTCCAAGCTTTACTTACAAGTGTCACAGCTCCATATATGTTCTTTGGGGTTCTTACAAAATTATAGCTAATTTCTAAACATACCATTAAATTGTGAACTCTTATCCCAAACATTAATAAATAGGACATTATGAACTTAAACCAAAATTGAGTTAGACGTAAAGCTAAATATTGTCTTTTTGATACAATTTAATTCATTTTGGTTAGAGATGTTGAACGATGAAAATTCATACACAATCATGTAAATAGTGCCATTTTGTATCAAAACACCTTCAAACGCGACATATAGCGCTGAATGACATTTTGATGTCAATCTGTTGAAAAGAAAACATTTCAGCATATAGTATAGACTTTTCAATTTACAGTAGGATTTGACAACGTTTAGATTTCTAATTATTTTGACCGTGTTTGTAAAACAAATACATGGGAAATCGTCAGTTACAAGAAAGAAAAGCTGTTTTCTTTTGAATTTTGTTAACACTTATGCACAAGGCAAACGGTTATGGATATACCAGACTTGAATATGATGTACCTTATAGAAGACTTAATGATATGGTTATGCACATAAACAGGGACCTATAATAATGAACGAACTACATTATCAGTTTTTGTCTTACGTCATACCTTTTTTTGTTTCTCAATCCATTAAAAGTTAAACATCAAGTATAATTTTAGATAAATAGATATACATATAAATATTTTTTTGCTTACATAAGTGAAACGCGTACAAAACAGCATATATATATATATATATATAAAGATATAAATACAACAAATTTAAGCTATTGAGAATTATATTTTGTGGATTATAAGCATGCGTCGGTGTATTTGATGTAAGCACTTGAGTCACTTCAAGTATCTCAAATGGTAACAAGTTTAAGAAGCTACATATTATATGACCGTATAAGCCTCCTAACAATGTATTATACTAGAAGTACTTAAAATGTACTATATAATTACAAGAGTGTTTAAATTACTAGTTAAGAAAACTTTATTTCCTAACATTAACTATTTGTATAGATTTATAGTACTTGGATTGGTTTGTATCTTGCATCTTGAATTTCCCCAACACCGAGGTTGTAAAATAAAATCTTTCTTATTTTCCGGCTTTGCTGTGTTTGGCATATAACCTTTAGAGACGTTGATTGTCGAAATGCGCGTCTGGTGCAGAAAATTGGTACCGTTTATGTTATTACTTTGAAATCAAGGAACTAAATAAGGTTGCAGCTACATAATGATTTGATTTCTTGAGCGCATGATGCATTTTCGCGTGTCATTGGATACAAAAAGTAAGAACGGTATTGATGCATTGATTTTTTATCCAGGACGAAGAGCATTTTCTATAATACACTGCTATTACCAGACTTATTCCTGTCATGTAATCTCGTCATTTTAATGTTATATTTAACATTGCCATAAAAGCGGGAGGTTTGGCTAGCCACAAAACCAGGTTCAACCCACCATTTTTTCTTAAAATGTCCTGTACCAAGTCAGGAAAATGGCCATTGTTATATTATAGCTCGTTTCTGTGTGTGTTGCATTTTAGTGTTGTGTTTCTGTTGTGTCGTTGTTCTCCTCTTATATTTGATGTGTTTCCCTCAGTTTTAGTTTGTATCCGGATTTGGTTTTTTTTCTCAATCGATTTACGAATTTCGAATAGCGGTATGCTACTGTTGCCTTTATTTATCCTGATCCTCGTTTAGCTTAATATATAAATAAGAAGATGTAGTATGAGTGCCAATAAGACAACTCTACATCCAAGTCACAATGTATAAAAAGTAAACAATTATAGGTCAAAGTACGGCCTTCAACATGGAGCCTTGGCTATAAAGGGCCCCAAAATGACTTGTGTAAAACAATTCAAACAGGAAAACCAACGGTCTAATCAATATAAAAAACGAGAAACACTTATGAACCACACCAAAAAACGACAACCGCTGAACAACAGGCTCCTGACTTAGGACAGGTGCATACAAATGCAGCGGGTTTAAACGTTTTTACAAGCGCCAACCTTCAGCCTAACATGAAACAGTGGTGTAACATTACAACATAAAACGACACACTTGTACGAATTGCAGGGACATAAGTTGTTTACTCTTCGCTGTTGGTGATCGTCTTCTCTTTGAGACCTCAGGCAAATGTCTATTCTCTGAATAAACGGATATGTATTGCATCCATCGTCCTGGTAGTAATTTATGTGCTGTTCATGGCATTCCTCTTAAATCTTTCAGATTTCGTGCAATTTTACTATCTTGAGTTTACTTTTCAATTAACTGGATATTGATTGTAATGTTTTTGTTTTCCTGAATATCAAGTTGTTGCAAAATATCATGTAAGATGAGGGATGGACAGAAAGTCAAATATTTTTCTCTATTGCACTCTGTTAGTAGATCTCCCGATATTTTTAATTTAAGAGCGTCACATATATTAAAGGGATTTTTTCATCTTTTAAACATTCATACACACTAGTTAACCTTTGCTTGATATATGTGGGATGGGATTTGTATATTGTCTTTTTCATATTTTCACTCATCAATTTTACAGTAATATTAATTTTCGGGTAAACGTTATGTTCCAGGTATAACCTACTACCGGCTAATAGATATCTATGCAAACTCTCCCTTGTATTTGTCAGTCGTCATTGACATATGTTGCATCTGTTTTTTCATTACATATGTAAACCAATTTAAACTACTTTCTGGATATTTGGACCTCAATTTTCTTTTAGAGTCCTAGTTTTCAAATATAGCATACTAGCTAGTGGCCGGAAATCTATTTCATAACATGTGACATCGACTAAAATATAAAGTCCTATCAATGTTTTGCATCTGTTCTAGTATTTCAAAATAAAGTTTTATGAATTTCGTTTACTATATTAATTAGTCTTGATACTTCTGCATTACCATTACCTGGCAACAGATAAAATTGTAATAAATTGCAAAAACAAAATAATAAAAGCGTTTTCCAGTCAAATCCAAAATTTCAGACCAGTCCAGTCCAAGAGTCAAATCCAAGATTCCAAACCAGTCCAGTGAAGGTTTGATACTTTGTCCCATTGGCTGTCCGTTTAGTCAGCTACGCTACCAGGGTTGACAGTTCTTTTACCATTTTTTGCAGCACTTTTTGCACCCCATTCTTCCCGTACAATATGTGCACAAATCTAAATAATTTCATTCCTGCACCAACCATACAATTGTTTTTATACTTCATCAAATTCAAGAATATTGAAAAAAAAAATAAAAAAATATGTTGGTATACGTCAATGAAACAGCAACCCAACGACATAAATAGCCAAAAGGCATTTAAAGATCAATAAACGAATGTTTATGCGTTATACACCAAACTCTCAAGAATAGATTTGAATGAATATAACAGACCACTAAAGATCCAACATCAACACATACTTCCCTAAATGAACAAACATAAAGACATTACTAAAGACAACATATTTGTCTTCATAGCTATTACAATGTATAAATATGTTGTCACAAAATGTAACAGTATGCTTTGGTTTGTCCTATTGGACTGTAAGTATTTACCTTTGACCAATCGCCTTTTATAAATATTTATATTTCTTCGTTTACAGTTTTCGGCCAAAAAACAAAATGTGCACCCTTAGATAGTCCGGCACATGGTCGAGTAAGACTACGAGCAAGAGGTAGAATTGCAAAGTTTAGATGCAATCGTAAATTCACGTTATTTGGAAAAAAAATGATCATCTGTTCAGGCGACAAATGGAGTTATCCACCACCTATTTGTATACGTGAGTATGTTTTATATGTCCCATACTAATCTGTTCAGGCGACAAATGGAGTTATCCACAACTATTTGTATACGTGAGTATGTTTTATATGTCCCATACTAATCTGTTCAGGCGACAAATGGAGTTTTCCACCACCTATTTGTATACGTGAGTATGTTTTATATGTCCCATACTAATCTGTTCAGGCGACAAATGGAGTTTTCCTCCACCTATTTGTATACGTGAGTATGTTTTATGTGTCCAATACTAATCTGTTCAGGTGACAAATGGAGTTTTCCACCACCTATTTGTATACGCGAGTATGTTTTATATGTCCCAAACTATCCAAGATCTTTCCCGAACACTCTTTGGTAGCTTTCAGGCAGCAACAATAGTCTGTGGAATCTGTTTGTGCAGACTAAAGTGTCTAAACCCAGTATTGCTTCTTGCGAGCGCCCTTTGTGTGTTGACAAAAGATGTAAATGATAAGCATAGCTGTATAATCCCCAATATCCATCAGCAATGCAATCGAGACAAACTGCAAACTATTTTGAAATGTATCCTACAGAAGTGTGAATTCCTTGTATATTTTGTCTTGCTGATAATTTTTGCTGTTTGCAGTTTTTCTCTATCTGTTGTTGTTTTTAAAGTAATTATAATAGCCAAAAAAGCAACAATTGCTCAATTGTTTCACAGTTGATAATAAAAAGTTTCTTCTGTCCAATTTACATGAGGTTATATGCAAACTCAATTACTGTATTCAAGTTGTACACAGAGTTGTTAACTGATATGTTTGTGTATAAAATAAAATAGTTAATTGTTTCAAGTGACTATAACACAAATACACATACACAGTTGAATATCACAAAAAAATATGGGGATGGAAAATGATTTTTGCTTAATTTTACTTTAAACATTAAAAGTTAATATCCTGTCTCATGAAATTCCGTACAAATTTGTATGACTTTATCAACAGATCTAACCAACTGTTTGAAAAATCCGACAATTACAAAATATACGCCCGCTATGTCTTGCCCTTACGAATATTGTCATGGGCAAGACAAAAATCAAATCAGGCCGACACAAATGTCCTATAACCAAAACACATACACTATGTAAGAATAAATACAAAATTAATTCATCATAGATAGATACCAGGATTAAAATGTTGTACGCCAATGAATGAAAGACCTCTGTTTACATAAATAATCATCCCTGAAGCAGACAAAATATCATAAATTTAACAATTATTACCAGAAAACTACTTATTTTCAGGAAAAGGTTGTGATAAAATTCAATCTTCAGGAAATCTTACAGTAACTGAAGAAAAAGGTGGCGCTGTATTAGAATTCAAATGTGCTCCACCACTCAAATTAACAGGAGAGAAAATGATCACGTGCGATGGGAAAACTTGGAGTGCCGAAGTCCCTTCATGTGAATGTAAGTATATTTTTGTGCTCATCATATTTCATTTTTTAATTAAAAGTTGTTTTTGCAAAACAAAACTAGAGAACCTTGTAATAATCAAAATGATAAAAGCTAAAGCTTAGCAACAGCTGGATATATGATAGATGTATTTGTGGCAAAACGTTCTTTCAACTCCTAAGGTAAAAACGAGTACAAGAGACCGTCGCTTAGCTGTTCCCCATCTTGATAGAAGCTGAAAAGTCTTCAACGACGAACTAAAATGTCAACAGCATACAACAACTGTTGACTATCAACGAAATTAAAAACCACAATACATAAAAGAAAGAATGATGAGGTTGCATAAACATATGAAACTCTATCATGAAAAAACTCTTTCTTTCTTTGTCGATTTCTTCTTATTTTCATATGAGTCGGAGTTCCTTTCAGACACTTGTCAAAAACAAGAAGATAAAAGAAGCCAGATCATTTAATTTCACATTCAGATATATTGATGATGTTCTTTCCATCTTCAATCCAAACTTTTCTGATTGGGTTCCAATAGTATATCCTCCAGAACTAGAAATTAAAGAAACAACAGACACGGCTTCCTCTGCCCAATTTTTAGATTTATACTCGAATTTGACATAAGTGGTCATCTCAATACCAGACTCTATGACAAATGAGACAACTTTAATTTTGAAATTATGAATTTTCCCCACCTCAGCAGCAATATACCAACTTCACCTGCGTATGGAATATACATTTCCCCAACTCATTCGGTATTCAAGAGCTTGCAGCTGCTTCTCAGATTTTATAAAGTGTCACCAGTGTCTGAGCAGAAAGTTGATCAACCAGGGTTATATCAAAGACCGTCTCGTCCTTTTTCTGAAAAAGATCATCGGAAGATACCAAGACCTTGTTGATAAGTATTTCGTATCAACTTCCCAAAAATACATGAAGTATATATTCTAGGTATTGACGTTGTTAACATCTTAACTAAGTGTTATAGTGTTCTTGTTATTTGTCTTTATATAATTTAAAGTTATTTGTTTCTATAGTGATTACGATTATAACATAATGTTGACTGCTGTACCCCAATTTTTGACATTTTTACCTAGGACGTCTGTCTGTTTTGTTCACACATTTTTGTCGATATAATGGAATTCTATGCGACTGTCATACAAGTGAGAGGTTTAGCTAGCTATAAAACCAGGTTTAGTCCACCATTTTCTACATAAGGAAACGCCTGTACCAAGTCAGGAATATAACAGTTGTTTTCCATTCGTTTGATATGTTTGAGCTTTTGATTTTGTCATTTGATAAAGGACTTTCCGTTTTGAATATTCTTTGGAGTTCGGCATTTTTGTTATTTTACTTTTTTACATATCTTACAAATCATATAATGTAAAAAACTATATGTTTACTATGTTGAAAAACCGTCAACAAGCATTTTTCGAATATTCAAATTTGATCTGTTTAGTTGTGAGTCCGAACGAAAAAAATGATCGAAAATGGTTCACTATTTTGCATGACACTGGTAGAATAAAGCATTCATATGTTATTTGTTTATGTCATCTTATGTAGTACTTCGCTTTTATTTTTTGTATACAGATGTAGAACCAGAAAATTATTGTGATTTTGAAGATGAAAATATTTGTGGCTGGCAACATGATAAACTAGCAAACTTTGACTGGAAATGGAATTCTGGTACTACACCTACTCGACGTACAGGTCCGAAAAATGACCATACCTTGGGGAAAGGTCAAAACGGTAGGAAAATGAACATAAAATAATGGGGTTTCCTTTTCTTTTTCGATGAAAATTTGAAAAAAAGGAATGTGTAACGGAATTATGATTCTATAGCTTACACAATGTGTCGATCTAAATGTGTCAAAGAATTATTTCCTTATGCGATAGTCGCAATTTAGTCACCAAATATACATATATCAAAATATAAAGTAATGTGTTATCTGAATTGATAATGGCTTCGTATGACAGATATGTGAATCGAATTTCTTGTTTATTTCAGGGCATTATATGTTTATGGAATCATCATCTCCTATAGAAACGAACGAAAAGGCAAGACTATTATCTCCGTACTTTCCCGCTACAACAGGTGGTCTATGTTTTGAGATATGGTATCATATGTGGGGAGTAGCAGGATACAACCGTAAGCATTGGTCAACAAATTAATATTACCATTTCATGGAAGCCTAGCTGTTTCAAATTGAACAAGTTTTTCATAGTTTGCTATACGTCATGGGTTTTATTGATACCACGTGTTCTTATTGATACATATATCAGTTTAGGTAAGAAGTCACAATTTCTATACTTCCTTATAAAAATCTGTATCACAGATGTACACGTATATGTTCCAGTTGTCATAACCACAATCCCATGCTCTTGCCCTCGGTTGTAACATCACTGAACGAGACTTATCACATAGAGTGTACTTACCACGAGTAACACGACGGTTGCCACTAGGGTTATAAGATCTGCTCATCCCATCCGGAGCACCTGTTATCACCCTTAGTTTTTGTTAGGGTTTGTTGTGCTCGTTCTTTAGCTTTCTAAGTAGTGTTTCTTACACTTGTTTGTCTTTTCGTTGTCTTTCGTTTTTTTGCAATGGCGCTGTCAGTTTATCTCGACTTGTGAGTTTTGGGTGTGCCTTTGGTATCTTCCGCCTCTTTTTTTATGACAATACCGATTTTGAAAGAGAACTGAAGACCTTGGCTTAAAAGCAATGAAATTGATATAAGAGTGCAAATGTTCGTATAAAATATTCAAAGGATTTATAAAAACTAATTTTGTACTAATGGTGCGATTTCAAATCTATGGCATGAAAATGGGTAATATCTAAAAAAAGAAAAAAAAAAAAAAGAACAAAGACTGTAAATAAAAATAAACTGAATTGTTTATGCATGTTATTTATGCGAATGACCCAAAAGATAACCTTCTGTGCAAAATTTTTGAAATGTTTATCAGGAAATTTCTTTTACCTTACCATCAGATATTCATAAAAGAAAGCAAGACAATCTTTTTTTTCTAAATAGAAGTTGGAAGATTGGCAATATATATTGAAGAAATAGGACAAACGGATACGCTATCTCAAAAAGCAGAGTTCGACGTTTCAGGGAATCAAGGTGACGAATGGATAAAAGGACAATTTCCAGTCGGAGAACAAAAAACGTCTTTCAGGGTAACTATTCTTGTGAAAATCAAATAACTTAAGTGTTTCGGAGTCACAAAATTTACAGTTTTCATTTACAGGCAATTAAAATTGAAAATAAACTTATCTTTATATATTCTCTCATTACAAACAGGCGATCAGGACATATCAACTGAAATAAAATTCTAAAGTATTTGCTTCAGGAATTCATTAGGGTATATCCTATTGTTTTCCGGAAAGTTATTTTTAGAAATTTCCTCAGAACGATGCAGTATATGTGAACATTGATTTTTTAAATGTTCATTGAAATTTAGTAAATTTGCTGATGCATAATTTTGCACGGAAGACTCCACATGTAGTTCATTGTTTCTTATTATTTAAGATTACCAAATAGATAAAAATTTGTGTTACGCCCCTCTTAATAAACAATTAGAATATCTTCAAGACTAGAATAGAGAAAACACCTATAGATCTCCATTTCTAGTTTATTCGCCATTAAAGAAAATGAATTGTTTTCCTGGTACTCGAGATAACGTTCTTCTTTAAAACATTATGAGTCACACAGCATGCAGCATAACCCTTGGTTTCTTTATAAATTTTTTATTTATTATTTTAAAATTCAATTTTGGTTAAAAGTTTTTAAAAAAATCGGATATATATCCACCGAGAAGTCAGTGTTTCGTTTTGACCATTATTTATTAAATACTTTTCACTTAAATAGTCAACTTATAAATTTTTTATTTAACGAAACCTAGCGTTACATCCCGAACGTATCATTTTACACACTATATATTCAATGCTTCGGTACTCGCATGGCTCAAAGCATACCTTCCAGAAATTCTCAGTTGACATATTTAGAAACTGTTAAGAAACTAAGGTTCTGACTCCCTACGGCAAAGATGAGCACATGTGGATTTGGCTATTCTTTTTGGGGACCCTTTTGGTCATTTAGCTGCTCAAGTATTCAAGTATTTACTCAAACTGGAATTTCATTTTATATTGTTGGTTTGAATATAACTGATGAAGGTAGATTCAGAAAAGTGAACAATGAAAACAACCTTATTTTTTTTAAAATATTTACAACGGACAATTAAAGAAAGGTTTGTTATAAATCAGATCAGCACCGAAATACCGACTACTGAGCTGATGATATCTTTGGAGACGTGAAGTCATTCAAATGTAAGAGCAATAAGCTAACTAATGACAGTGTGCTTTTTATATCCAAATATGTGAAGGGGTTAGAAACATACTGACAACTGATAAACAAAATTTGTACAACTCATAAATGGAACCCAATTTGTACAACTCATGTTTGGAACAAACTTTGAACACCATATATAACACTCATTGTATTTATGTACATATTTATCAATTTTGTTAACTATTGCTATGAACTTTCCTGATGAAAATCAATAAACAAAATACTCAGCAGAACACATCGTAAACTATAGGTTGTGCTTTGATATATTGATACCGGGTTGGTACCAAGCTTCATGTTCCCATGGGCATCATACACACAAAAAATTGAAACAACACTATATAAATTTCATGCGTCAGAAGCGCTTTTCTGGATTTATCTTCATCTGGAACATCCAAAATCGAATATTTGAAAGCCTAGGGTGTTTCAGAACCGAACCAGTTGAAGAGATATGTCCAAAAAGGGCCCTTCTTCTCCATCTTACATGTAGGTCAAATTTGCAAAGATATAGTTAGATAAGTACCTTTGGATAATTTACAACTGCGATGGCATAGTCAGTGACTTATGAGATTGATTGTTCCTTTGGTATCTTTAGCCTCTCGTTTTCCAGTTTTCGTATATGTTAATTACTTTCCTGTTTTCTGTACAATTCATGTAAATGCATGTTTCATCAGATACTACAGAAATTTTGTATTTTCAGTTCATAATTGAAGGTACGAAGCTAAAAAGTTACTTGAGTGATATTTCTGTAGATGATCCTAAACTGTACAACTGTTCAGATGGTAAGTTTTTTCTATTGAACCGAGCCACTTACTTACGATCATTGCATAAGAAATAATAATTTATTAGATATACTGACAACATATCAATCATTTAAAAAAACAAACAAGTTTCACAGTATCTATGTTTGGTGTATCACTCCTTCATGAAGCAAAACTATGAAATATGCTGTAAGGAAGAAACATTTTACACAATGTACACGCACAAATTGATATGGGCATTAAATTTTGCTTTCTCAGTTCTCCATCCAGGTTATGACGGGTATAAATACCAAACAGCTAAACTTGCTCAAAACATCAATAAATACAATGCAATAAAACCATCATCATATGTTACTTATGTTTTCCTGTCAACAGTAAATAAAATACTATACACTAAACATAAATTAAGCGCCACGAACCACATCAAAAACAGAATGATTTCGGAGGCGTCAGAAGGGTCATCAACTTCTGTTTCTCTAGTGGCATTATTCAATAGCGCATTGGTCTCAAGTGTAACCCTTAGAAATTAGCCAAACTTTATCACCGATGAATATGAATTATCTAAATTACCAATATACATGAGCTAATGTTAAAGGCTTAAAATGATAAGTTTGTTATCCAGGATAAGGGATATTCCCATACTGTTACTGGAAAAGGAAACACAGACACTATAAAATGAAATGTAAAAAAGCATAACACAGAAAACACGAAGAACCTATTCTAAGAAATAGAGGTATATAAGGGTGCACCAGAAGGCTTAAAACAGTTCCTGTTAAACTAGTGGCATACGTCGTATTGTTTTTGACACATTAAATTCTGTTGATACGTTGCATTTGGTAAAAGTTGTAAAAAAGGACACGATTCAAACTTAAAAAAAATATTTTATAATGTAGATTATGAGGATACTATAATAAGTACTCAAGAAACAACTGCAGCTGAGACCACTGAGGCAGTTGTACAAACCACAGCTCCGATAATCTTAACGAAGCATCAAGATAGGGTGACAACTCAACCAGTAACAACCACACAAGAGCTAATAGATTTGTCTACAAATGTTTTTTCTAGTAGTTCCGCTGTAAAGAGTACTGCGAGTTCAACCGAACTCAAAACAAAAGCAATTAAAGTATCACATGTAACTACCACAACAATGCTACCAACGACTTCCAAAGTGGCAGAAATAACTTTAATAAGTCATATAACTACTTCACCAGTTGAACAATCAACAATTGGTATTACTTCTGAGTCGATGACGTCCAAAGAAGTAATAACAAAGCCACGTACGCCAATGAAGAAAACAACAATCAAGCCAACAAGGCCAACCACAAGGGAAACTACCGTATCTTCGACATCGGCTCCTTCGACAAAAGAAACTACAACTACTATTACAAGTTCGAAAAGTAAAAGAAAAATAACTTCAAAACCTACAACAATTACTACTTCAACAACACGGAAACCCGAAACTTCTTATGTAGTAACTACGACAAGACCTACAACAACGACAACGAAACCAATACCAACAACAACTAAAAATCTCAAACCAACAAATAAAAAGACTACACCAACAACAGTAAAAACACCAACTACAGCTACTTTGTCAACTGTGACAACGAAACAAACGACGAATGTTCCTGTTTTGAAAACGTCGAAACACGTATTAATACCATCAAAAAGTGTTTCAACTGAGTTAACTACACAGGAAGTGTTATATTCTAACAAGAAATCAGATATTTATACTAAAAATACTACAGCCTCGTCAGTATCAAATTTGACTACAACACAAAGTTCAATAGAAATAGTCGAACCAGCTAATAGGTCAGACAATACTCCTATAAAACCTCTTATGATTGGTATAGGAGTAGGAATAGCAATTGGATTAATAATAGTGATCGGAGTAATTTATACGTATCTTAAAAAACGACGAAAAGATGATGTTTTCGAAGATGAAATGGAACCTATAGCTAAAAATGCTGTTTATGACTAAATCGAAATGCAATTGTGGTGAAGATAACGGTATTAGCTTTTGTTTTGCAATACCAAAACTTGATTCACAAAACGGTGACAATTTCTTTACTCTGCTGTGCCAGATACTGTGCTTTTCGGATACAAAAGCTGTTACCAATGAGCAGATTAAATCCCCTAACTTATAGTCTTTAGTGTGCTTGACAAATTTTATACTAGAGTCGTGCGCACCAGAATCACCGTCATACATGTATTGATAGCCCCGAATATGTAGACTGATAGTCTAACAGTCTTATAATCACCTAAAGGTCAGTAGTTTGGCATTGACCTCATCAATTTTAAACATGCGTTTTAGTTGAGAATTATCTGGTTACGAAGAGGGATTTTAAAAGTCGTCTTTTGGGTCAAAATATAATTCAAGTCATGTTGAAGGATAACTAACCTTTTATATAAAGAAATAAGTAGAAACTTTGAAATGTAATGAGAAACCAAGGGAATCAAAACTGAACATTGTATATTGTGATAACTCCAAAGATTTCCTCGCTTTTTTAATTAACCCAAGATAACTATATATATTTTGAAAGTATTTCTAAAAAATTGAAGTAACTCATAAAAACATTTGTCCAGTTCATCTAATGACTTAAACTTTTTTTGAAAGGAAATATTACTTTGACAATTCAAAAAAGTTTGTGAATAATAACTTTCTCTGGTTCATTTAATTTTGATTATCTGCAATGTTTTCTTATTCCTGGTTCAAATTGACTCAAAATATTTAGTAACTGTGATCTTGACATTGGATGTATATAGCTTAAATCAATAGGGATTGATCTCCCTCCACTTATATTTTACAAGTTTGCATCCAATCAAAGTTGGTCAAAGGGTGATCAGTCAGAAACGCCCTTTCTGCACTTTTTCAGGTTCATTTTGTAAAAAAGTATAACAAAAAACAGAACTCCAAGGTTAATTAAAAAAGGGAAAGTCCATAAAAACTGACAAAATCAACCGTTATCAAACAACGGAACAAGTGCAAAAACAACTGTCATATTCCTGACTTAGTACAGGCATAAATAAGACCTAAGAGTATTGACCTCAGAATCATTAGGGGTCTTTACTCATTATGTGTGACCAAATATGCAATTTTAGTTCCAATCCCATGTAAGGTTATAGATTTATAATCCAGAAAATCCTTTCCTGTACAAACTCCTGTATTGTTTGTATCTTTAGACTTATCATATGTGACCATATATCCATATAAGTTGCTATTTGATATAATGTATTTGTATTTGATTTAGCAACCGCAAACCGATTTCCTCCATAAAATTTTGGTTTATTATTAGTAACACTTTGACCTTGACTTTTACATAGATGAGGCTCGAATTTAAAAAGTTAAACTGAAGAATTTTTTTATAAGTATATTTTTTTCTAATTATGAGATTTGTGATAAATAAATATATCAAACCTTTTTATTCAAAACATTTTTTTTCTTCAAAATAGTTAAAATATTGTTTGCATACAATTATTGTGAACTCTATTTTGGTCATTCTAAACGCTTAAAATACAGAAATCACTTATCGTTTTATTTAATAGACAATATTTTGCAATTAACCCTGCCTTTTGTACACATTGATTGTCTCTTATTTATATGAGTACACTGGAGATAATATAAAAACAAATATTTGACTTTAGCTTTTGTAGTTTGCATCAGTTATTAGACGTCCAATAGTTTAGCTTCAAGATTAAAATTTATATTCCAGAAACGTGTTACACTGAATTCTGTGAATTTATTAATACATATACCAACATGCATGTCCTTGTTTGAATTACTATGCATAAAACAGTTGACATTTATGTAACACAGGAATATTATATTCACTTTGACTATAGGCCAAAGTTAATGTAGTTTTTTCTTGGGTTAATAACAAACCACTACCATTTTGAAGGTCGTTGATTAATTTAATGTATTGCACATTGTGTTTGCCTTTGCTTATACGCTTAAGATAAGCTTTAATAAAGTCGATTTTCAGTTATTTTATTATGTGTCATGCATTTGAATGGCATATACATCATGTCAAAAAGCAGGTATCCATGTTGCAATAAAACATAAGAACTTAACCAGTCAGAAAAGTTTGCAGCAGGAGTGATAATAGTATAAGATAAAATCTCTGAAAAAATGAAGATACCAAAAGGAACCATAAAAATCATAACTCTAAGACAAACTGACACCACCATGGTAAAAGAAAGCAAACATCATTCTACAAATCACTATACACAGAATTAAAGACTCAGCAACATAGACCCCACCAAGAACGGTGGTGATTGCAGGCGCTTTGGAAGAGGAAGAAGACTCTCTTGAACCCCAAACTGCATATTAGTATTGAAGTATCAGAATTACCATTACTTGTTAAGGAAATGTCTAGTGCCAATACGGCACTCAACCTTCTTTGTTACTACAATATCGTGATATTCAATCAAGACTAATTTTGAGATTTTGTTGTCATAGAAATTTTTTCAAGAGAATTTCTATTTTTTTCGTGTTTTTACAAAATGTATATTAAGGAAAAACGATTTTGGTCCATGACCATTTAAATGGATTTGCACATATACATATCTTTCAAATGCTTTTCATGTGCCAGAGTTGTTGATAAGGTCAATTTTGAACTACCTGACCTCAGTAACAAGATAATGGTTCATATAGCAAACTCAAATAAAACAATTCCAGACTTTGTTTAAGGAATTATATCGATTCTTATAGGGAAATACTGGTATTTTTGTAGATCGAAGCGTATGAAAATACCTTACGAATGTTTGGCAGTTCCCGTTTCCTCCCCATGAATTATGCACATTACATTTTCATATTTGACAAATTTAAAAACTAAAAGTAGGGTAAATATATGATGTTTTAATAACAATATATAACTAAGTTTTATGTAAGCAGCTAAAATTATTTTTTTTAGAATATAAACTGTTATCACAGAGATATGTCTCGCCTTTTTGTAATTTTGATAATGCAAATGTTGAAATTAAAATAGCAATACTTTAACATGCAAGTTATGCAAATATTCAAAGTCGATGAACCATGACTGAAGGTACATGGCTAAACAATCTCCATGGAATGAGATGTGCCAATGCTAATACAACTGCATACCAAATACCATTGACTTATTATAAGTCGTTCCCTTTAAACAAACCTAAACACAAACATTAACTTGTAAACTATGTAAAGGTTTCAAAGTCAATGAACCATGATCAGGGGTGGCGCTATATAATCTCCATGGAAACGATAATTGCAAATGCCAATAAATTTGCATACCAAATATCATTGACTTAACATTAGCAGTTCATCTTAAACTGATCTAGTCACAAACTAATACATGTAAACTAAGCAAAAGTTTCAAAGTAAATAGACCATGACTGAGGGTGCGGGGCCAAATATTCTCCATTGAAATGAGATGTGCTAATGCTTATACAACTGAACACCAATTAACACTGGCCTACCACTAATGGTTCTCCTTGAACTGACCTAATCACAAACTAATACATATTAACTTAGCAAAGTTTTCAAAGTCTATAGACCATGACTAAGGGGGCGGAGCCAAATAATCTCCATGGAAATGAGATATGCCAATGCTTATACAACTGCATACCAAATATTATTGACCTACCACTAGTGGTTCCCCATAAACTGACCTAATCACAAACTAATACATGTAAACTATGAAAAGTTTCAAAGTCAATAGACCTAGACTGAGGGGGCGGGGCTAAATAATCTCCATGGTAATGAGAGGTGCCAAAGCTAATACAACCGCATACCAAATAGCATAGACCTAGCACTAGTGGTTCACCATGAACTAGACCTAATCACAAACTAATACATTGTTGACGCCGCCGACGCCGGAAACAGCATACCTATGTCTCGCTTTTTGATTCCGTCAAGGCGAGACAAAAAATGATAATAACGAGAATGTAAACAGTAATATTGTGCACGTGTTAAACATATTTTGTGCTAATAAAAAAATTGCTTTGTTTACAAAGCGAAATAAGGGCGTCATATTAGAATTTGGTTTTCCGTATGAACAACTCATAACAGGAGAAAGTAACATGTTGATGCCTGTATCCTTCAAAGATGCTCATCGAAACACTGCAACGTTGTAACAGGAGGGAATTTAAATTGAAACTTAAAAGATTAGGATAGAAGTTTTCATATCCAAGTCAAATATTTGTTAAAACTAATATTCATGATATTGACTGTATGTCCAATCATTCAAACCTACCAAATATCAAAGAAATCAATGACTGGATTTGGATTGTAAGAATATGTCATTACACTGCACTTGCTTCATACTAACAACCTTTCACTATCAATGGTCTAAACTTAACACAATGCGATTGGTTAAATAGATGTATTATGAAAAGAAAAAGATTTTTGAGCAGGCACAGTAATAAAAGGTAGAATTTTGACTACACAAAATAAATTCGACTTTAATAAATAATTGTTTACATACTAGAGAAGGTACCGCTATAGATGTGGGACCAACATCAATGATACAACAACTGAACGACAAACATACTCAAAATGTTCAACAAAATATAGTTGATGGCTTTCAAATGTTTAGGTTTGAGAGTTCCTGATAAAAGATAACTCCAGAAAAGCGTTATGATGCACGAAATTTACAAAGTGTTATTTTCAATCATGATACAACATATCATGTATAAAGAGAGCACTTGAGCTGAGCATGTAAATATGGTTAGATGCCCAATGGTGGAAGGAGAAGCAGCACTGTATATAAAGAGAGCACCTGTTCTACATATGGTTCCTCTACAAAGGGGGTTTAAAGATAAGTTAGATTAGATTAGATTAGACATGCTCTAAGCCGCGAATAACACAACAGAAACAATCCAAAATAATAACAAACAACATTTAGACACAAGATAACCACTGACAAGGTTAAATCATGTTTTACTGTTTTCACCACTAATAAATACATTAATTAAGTATATATTGATGTACTTTTCTTCATTGGGTTCATACAAACTCAAGATGAAATTGATAGCTTCTCCTCATAATATCGCATGATTCATAGTATGAAATTGTCATTTGCTAGTACAATGTTGTTTGAAAAGTATGCCTATTGACCTTGAAAAGTATGCCTATTGCCCTTGAAAGCATGTCTATTGACATTGAAAAGCAATAGATGCCATCATATTCTCTAATGAGATTGATAATGAGACTTAGTTTTATGGGAACCGGACACATATTTTAAACTAGATACCCAATGATGATTGTGTTTTTATTGTCCCAGTTGTTTCAAAGGAGAAGATTTTTGTAAAACGGTCGACAGACAACAACGCCAAGTGATTAGAATAACTCTCTTAACCCTTTGGTTCATGTGAGCTAATTAAACGTAAAAAAAAAAGTTTACACACTAGATACTTCAAAACTCAGAAGGCTTTTTAGGGCTAATCTTTTTTTTATGCACTCGGCTTAAAAGGTCTAACAGAGATTTATAAACTGTAAGTAATGATCAAAATATATGTAATGAACATAATCCAATCCATCTTCTTGACATGTACAGATTACTGACACATTGGTGGAGGCCTTCCACATCCTTATTTATAAAAGAACAGGAATTTAACTACTGCTCTGGATGTCAGTTTTTATAAATTTGTCATAACATTTACTGGTAAGGTACTGGTCAAAAGCAGAAATTAATTCCCAAATAGTGATATAATGGAACTATTCTTTTGACATTTCATTGGTTACCAAGAGGTCCTTTTAGTGCAATATTTTACGATTTACAATTTTTTAGTTAAAAGCTTGTTAAATCAACCAAACATTGCCATTCTGTTAATAAATTTGAAAACTCTTCTACTTTTACTAAGTCTAAATTGATCCTACATTTATGATCATTTATGTCACTTGAAATCAACAGGTTACACTGTATTGAAGAGGAGCTTAGAGTTAGATGTTCAAATGATTATCTTTGGAAAGATATCATTATTCTAAAGTAAGCTTTGATATTACAGAAACAGTGAGTTTTGTATAATCAAGAATGTCATAAAGCAATGGCATGTCCATGCTCACGTATCTTTCCACGACACTTTAAAAAAACACAGAAACGTTGGTATTTCTTTATCTCTGGATCAAACAAAACAAGAGATTTTTAAAATAAAAGTCATTGTCTGAAGATAATAGATTGATTGCTGTTTGCTTTACGCCGCATTAGCACAGAAAGGCTATATCGCGGCGACGAAGATAATAGAAGTATATATTTTATCTTAGCCACACATCAGTTATTTCATAAAATTTGTGACAAGTTCTCAAGCAGTATCTGAAATCAGACCTCTTAATATTAATTTGCAATGTGTTGTGACAATTAAATAAATGAATATAAACTGTTAACACAGAGATATGTCTCCCCTTTTTGTTACTTTGATAATGCAATTGTTCAAATTTAAATAGCAATACTTTAAAATGTAAGTTATGCAAATATTCAAAGTCAATGAACCATGACTAACAGTAAAGGGCTAAACAATTTCCATGGATTTGAGATGTGAGAATGCTCATACAATTGCACACAAATACTATTGACTTACCATAAAGTCGTTTCCTTTAAAAACCTAAACACAAACAGTAACTTGTAAACTTTGTAAAAGTTTCAAAGTCAATGAACCATGATGAGGGGGTAGGGCTATATAATCTCCATGGAAATGTGATGTGCTAATGCTTATACAACTGCATACCAATTATCATTGACCTACCACTAATGGTTCCCCTTAACCTGACCTAATCTCAAACTAATACATGTAAACTGAGCAAGTTTCAAAGTCAATAGGCCATGACTGAGGGGGCTTGAACATATAATCTCCATGGAAATGAGATATGCCAATGCTTATACAACTGCATGCCAAATAATATTGACCTACCACTAGTGGTTCCCAATAAACTGACCTAATCACAAACTAATACATGTAAACAAAGCAAAAGTTTCAAAGTCAATAGACCATGACTGAGGGGGCAAGGTCAAATAATCTCCATGGAAATGAGGTATGCCAATGCTCATACAACTGCATACCAAATATCATTGACCTACCATTAGTGGTTCAGCATTGACTAGACCTAATCACAAACTAATACATTGTTGACACCGCCGATGCTGGAAACAGCATACCTATGTCTCCCTTTTTGACTCTGTCAAGGCGAGACAAAAAATGGATGTCATGAACACTGAATATTTTATTGCTGAACTCATCAAAAAACAATACTCGTCAAACTTAAAAAATAATACAAAACTAAATAATCATTAACCCCTCTTGTTTGTATATATATAGGTATCTTTTAACATCCAACACTGTATGCATCCTTTCCATATATTTGAACACTTAAAATCTTTGTAACAGAAACATGTAGATGATAATATAGATAATATAATAATACAGACTAGAACAGCCTGCAGCATTCACATTATATGCATGCCTTATGTAAAGATTGTATAACCAAATAAAGTCTCTACATTTTTCCTGGAGAGCAGTAATTTATCAGCATTTTCCCACTAGACTTCTAACACTTCTCTTTTTTATTTTGGTAAATATGATGGTGTTTGGTGTCATCAATCATACAAAGAAAGGATTAAATAGTTTTCATTACCAAATATATGGTCGCAATTTGTCCTGCTTTCTTTTTATTTGCCCGTTTACAGGACGTATTATGGTACACTGTTGTCCATCTGTCCATCTGTCCGTCTGTCCATCCGTCGTCAGCATGATGGACATTTACTCAAAAACACTTTAACCAATTTGCATGAAACTTTGGTGAATTGTTTATATCTATTCACGTAAGCTCCCTTTCCATTTTTATAAATTTAAGATTTTGGGGTTTTATTCATTAAAAAAGGGGGATTTTACAGTTTTCTGACAATAACTCAAAAATGCTTTGGTCAGTTTTCATGAAACTTTAGTGACTGGTTTATAGCTATTAAAATAACCTCCCTTTATTTTTTTTATAAATTTCTGATATGACATTGAGGAGTTATGAAACTTTATTCGTTGAAAAAGCAATTGGTGTGACATGCTCTCATTGTGCAGCTTTTTATTTAGTTTGTTTTCATTGATTATCAAACCATTATTCTTAATACACACAACAATTGCATGATTGTCCCAAACTTTGGTAGCAATTAGCCACTTACAAGAATTCAAATTATTTAACAGATAGTTGATTTTTTAATACATTTCAGGTAAATGTTGATTTTACTTTCTGAGTAACAAATCATTACTCAAAACTTTTCAAATAATTGCAAATAATTAATCATATTCAACGCAATTCAAAACATTTTATACAACATGGCACAATTATTATAGATAAATGTAACATATCCAAACTAACTAACATGATGATAACAAAAATTTGTTCAAAGAAAAAGGTTGTTTTATGTCATATCTTAATATTTTTAATATCTGGAGAATTTGATTTTGATGGTAGTTCTCTCTTAGCTGTTTCTTTTTTGTTTGTACACAAAATTTGAATGGCTGTTAAGACCTTGTACATAGACACCTGTTTATTGTTGAATATTGTTTATTGACTTCTATATGTCTTTTTGTTATTGATTTGCTATCTCAATAAATTATACTTCACATCTACTTGTAGTCATAAATATCCAAAATATGAAGCTATGTTAGAGAATCCTAAGTCAATCAAGAATGGAGTAGAGCACATCTGCCACATGCAGGATTAGAACTCACAACCTCAAAACACAAAAGAGGGTAAAAGAAACCCCCATTTAAGGGCAATCACTCCTATAAAGAGTGACAGTCTACTTCTACTGTCTATATCGGCAAAATTTGACTTGTTAGTAAATCTTGCCTTGCTGATCATTTGTGTGATTTAAAGTGTCTATTCATCTATCATAACTTTTATCATATAAGGCAAAACACAAAAAAATAAGGAGTTGTCGGACGATTTCCTCCATATTGTTTTAATTGTAGATCTTGTCTTGCTGATAATTTTTGCTTATTTAAGTTTCCATCTATCTATTATAATTTTAAGATATAAGGCAAAAACATAAAAAATTGGTAAAAATCATCATCAAAGGGCAATAACTCTTATAAGGAGTGGACTGACGATTTCAACCATGAGCTAAAAGAGAAAATAAAATTCAAATTGAAAGATTGCAAACTATGACACAATAAAATGCTCCGCAGGGCGCAGCTTGATACGACGGCAGAGGTCGAACCCTGAACAGTTGGGGCAAGTATGGACACAACATTCAAGCTTGATACAGCTCTGAATTTTGGATTGTGATTAAATATTTGACATAGCATAGGTTTCTGACACAAAATGAATGTGGTCTAAGAACTTAAAAATTTTAAATTGGACATTCACCTATTATGGTCAAATATCCAAAATCTAAATACATGGTTAGATTCAGCATATCAATGAACCCCAAGAATTCAATTTTTGATGAAATCAAACAAAGTTTAATTTTGGACCCTTTTGACCTCAATGTGGACAAAGTTGATAACGGGGCCCAAAAATCAAAAATCTAAATACATGGTTAGATTCAGCATATCAAAGAACCCCATATATTCAATTTTTGTTGAAATCAAACAAAGTTTAATTTTGGACCCCGATTTGGACCAACTTGAAAACTGGGCCCATAATCAAAAATCTAAATACATGTTTAGATTCAGCATATCAAAGAACCCAAAAAATTCAATTTTTGTTAAAATCAAACTAAGTTTAATTTTGGACCCTCTGGACCTTAATGTAGACCAATTTGAAAACGGAACCAAAAATTAAGAATCTAAATACACAGTTAGATTCGGCATATCAAAGAACCCCAATAATTCAATTTTTGATGAAATCAAACAAAGTTAAATTTTGGACCCTTTGGACCTCAATGTGGACCAATTTAAAAACGGGGCCCAAAATCCAAAAACTTAATACACGGTTAGATTCAGCATATTAAAGAACCCCAAGAATTCAAGAATAAAACCCCATTGAAATTGGTCAAGAAATAAGCAATTTATACAAAGTATCTTCTTTTGCACAATACTGTGCAATTGAATATTTCTTGCTATTGCACAATACTGTACAATTGACAATTTCTTGTTATTGCGCAATATTGTGCTATTGGATATTTCTTGCTATTGCGCAATACTGTGCAATTGAAGATTTCTTGCTATTGCGCAATACTGTGCAATTGAAGATTTCTTGCTATTGCGCAATACTGTGCAATTGAAGATTTCTTGCTATTGTGCAATACTGTGCAATTGAAAATTTCTTGCTATTGCACAATACTTATTATATAATAATTTACACATCCTGTTTGGTGTGTATCTCCTACCATATCATTATTATTTGCTTTTAAATATAAATCAGAAATAACCAACTTAAAATGGAAAATTTTAAAAGAAAAAAAAAATGAAAAAAAGAAAAAAAAAGAAAAAAAAAAAATCCCCCCCCCAAATTTTTTGAACCCCCTTATGATTCATCACCCTCAAACTCAATCCCAGCCTTCCCTTTGTGGTATGGTACCTTGCAGTACAATTTCAGAGAGATCCATACACTTGAACACAAGTTATTGTCTGGAAACTAGAAAAATGCTTATTTTTGGCCCCTTTTTGGCCCCCAATTCCTAAACGTTTCGGGCAATTACCCCCAAACTCAATTCCAGCTTTCCCTTTGTGATATGGAACCTTGTAGTACAATTTCAGAAATATCCAAACACTTACACACAAGTTATTGTCATGAAACTAGAAAAATGCTTGTTTTTTGCCCCTTTTTTGGCCCCTAATTCCTAAAATTTTGAGGCAATTAACCCCAAAATCAATTACAGCTTTCCTTTTGTGATATGGAACCTTGTGGTACAATGTCAGAGAGATCCATACACTTACACACAAGTTATTGTCTGGAAGTTACAAAAATGCTTATTTTTGGCCCCTAATTCCTTAACTGTTAGTACCATAACCCCCAAAATCAATCCCAACCTTCCTTTCGTGGTATTGAACCTTATGGTAAAATTTTATGGAGATCCATTCACTTAAACTAAAGTTAGATTGTGAAAACCAATGTGTCTTCGGACGACGCCGGACAACGCCAGACGACGACGACGACGACGACGACGCCAACGTCATACCAATATACGACCAAACATTTTTTAATTTTTGCGGTCATATAAAAATTGGAATGATATAACATATATTTACAAACTACTCACTAAATGACACAACCCTAATAGGCATTACATTAACATTATACCTCATACATATATTCTACAACTCGTGGACTTATAACTTTCAACCCAACATGCCTTTGCAACCTTTCACTGAATACCATTTCTACGATAACTAAAAAGAAATAGATTTTGTGGAATCAAGTTGAAAATTTGTATATTTGCACAACCAACATTGCTTAATTTGAAGTTTCAATAAGTACTTATTTTAGTGCATGAGAAACAGTATTGTATATGAACATTTCCTAACATCAATATGTTATTTTAAGGTGGCTAAATATCACATGATACATTTCTTATATTGTATTAGAATAATGAATCCACAGTATTTCTTTAATCACAAATTTTCAACAAGAACAAAAACGACATACTGAATATAAAAATATCTGGCAATATTTTAAAAGTACATCTCAATATTTATATCCATATATTTATATCCCTCATATATTAAAAGACAACATTATACATTATTTTCCGTCTTAATGAATTCTTCTAAATACAGTCATACAGGCAGTGAAAAACAAAATAAATAGTTAATATACATTCTCTGTAATCTTAAAACTCTTTAAATTATAGGCAGTGTATATGTTATCATAATATAAAGCTAAAATCATTAAAATTGTATGAAGGGGGCAGGGCATGAACCCCCTTGAGTGAGACATAAGGTGCACTATATAAGTTTAGCTTTGTTCAAGGATGGATATGGAAATGTCCCTTTATATCAATTATTTGCCCTTGGCATCAAAGGTCAATGTTAAGAGTAATTTTCTATGGTATGTGACTCATAACCTTGAGTAAATGCATTAATGAGTCATATATTAATCCACTATGTCAAAGGATAAAAAAAGTTATGACCAAGACAAGAAAATAACAAATAAATCATTGGTACACGACACACATTCTAATGACATAAAAATATCTCAAGAAATAAAAAAGTTCTGGCCTGGACAATTTTGTTTGAGAACAATAAAGAAAAGAAATACTACATTGTACAAACAAAAAAAGTCTTCCATTTTTGAAGGGGAGACATAATAATGCCCATCAAAATTATAAGTATAGTCTTACAAAGAAAAATATATATTATAATAGACAACAGTTTAGGTATAACACCCCCAACATCATCCTTAGTACAATCTCTATCACTACCATTTGTCAATTCATATTACTGAATCAAAATAGAGAAAACAATTACTGTGATAGTATCCATTTAAGCAGAATCTAATTTTCACAGATTTCTTTACAATTAGGTTTTGCAGGTATTACTTTTTGCGATTGTATTATCCTTTTTATTAATCATTTTTGTCTAACAAGAATTTTCCAGAGAAATATCTTTTGCACATTAAAAGGTATTTTGAAAATTTTTGTAGCAGATTGAATTTCAACAGTTCAAATAATTGGATGAACAGACACCCAATTCATAATATAGACCTCTGTTTCCTGTGCTTTGCTACTAGGAGTTACATAAATATACTAGAGCACTAATGAACTTAACAAAAAAATAAAATTATCAGGTGACATAATAAATAATATTGAGATTGCAAATTTTTAACTGGAGAATTCCTCATTTTTGCTCCCACCTATCAAGTCTCATCTTTTTTTTCTTCCTGTAGTTTTGAAGCACCTGTGTCATTTTGATTATCTTCTATTAACATAGTTAACTGTTGCTTTGCTGTCTCTAAGAACACATCTAAACTGGAAAACTGTCTGTGCCTAACAACCTTGTCCTTCTGCAATCAAGAAACAAAATAATACAGTAAACAGATAAGGAAGGCTTTAAGATAAGGAAGATTTTTTTTCTTCTGTTCTTCTGTAGTTTCAATTTTCAACTTTTCACCCCACCCCTGGATAAACCTGGGTATGGAAATTGGTCCGAGTTTTTCCTTCTATAGGTACAGGTCCCCTGTAAGGGACAACAACTATGTGATGCCTGGGAAAATTATTTTGAAGAAAGGATTGATACATTGGTGTTTGTTTACTGTTCAGTGGCAAATATTTCATGCATATTCAGGACAAGAACAATTTAAAAATATATCTAATACGTCAGCTCTGAAAGTGGGTTGAATGGGTTGTAGAAATTCCCACAGCCACTGGAAAAAGGATAATAAATAAGGATAAGTGCAGAAATTTTGCCTTGCTACAGTGTAAAATTACACACATTTTGTTTTCAAGAAAAACGTAATCATCACTTATTTTTGGATAAAAACTGTCAGCACAACTTCAGAGCAAAAACTTGCATACCATCTTTTCTTACTCTGAATGAACTGGTTTTTTTTTAATTTTTCAATTGAAAATTAAAAAAAACCCAGTTCATTCAGAGTAAGAAATATTATTTTTAATACATAAAATTTTTAGATATTTGTGTGGAAACCTGCCTGTCACTGCTGCAGTCAGAGTAAAAAAATAATATTGACAGCCTAAAATCTTACGTTAATTTATCAGTAAAATTCAGGAAATGAAAAAAAAGAATAATAAGTGTCAATAGGACACAATGCCCCGCTCTTACTTTCACATTTCCATGTTCATTGAAAAGTGAAATCTTGGTCAAAACTAGAAAATTTGTCATATGTATTGAGCCGTTTACTTAACAATGAACAAGCGTACTAAGTTTCAAGTTGATATCACCACAAACTACCTTCAAACAAAACTTTTATATCTATTACCTTTCCATTTTCAGTAAATTGCGAAATCAAGGTTAGAACCTTAATTTGGCAAATACCTTAAATAGTTCACTTCATGATGAACATGTGTGTTAAGTTTAAAGTTGATGTGAGCACAAACTCCCTGAAACCATAAACTCTAACCTCATATATTGATTGATTGTTGGTTGCTTAACTAACCTGATACAGGATGGACGTACGTACTGAAGGACAGACAGATGCACAGACTGGAAAACATTATGCCCCTCTACTATGGAAAATGGGGCATTAAAATCAAAATTTACCTCAGGGTAATATTCATTAATTATGTAGAAGCCTTATTCCAGGTTTTGTTTAATTCAATTAAGGTTCAACATGTCATTCAAGTTTTAGAATCTTAAACCACAGACGTTACTTAAATGTTGACTGCAAAAAAAGAATTAAGTCCAAAAATTTTACTCTACAGATGGCAATGAAGCAGTCTTTTTATTTAAGTAAAAAAATACCTGAAATTCAAAGACAATTTGAAAAAGATTATTAGTGTATAAAAAAACCTTAACCCTAGACTGTGTCATAATGTAAACTCTAAAAAAAAAAACTTAACCCTAGACTGTGTCATAATGTAAACTCTAAAAAAAACCTTAGCCCTAGACAGTGTCATAATGTTAACTCTAAAAAAAACCTTAGCCCTAGACAGTGTCATAATGTTAACTCTAAAAAAAAAACCTTAGCCCTAGACAGTGTCATAATGTTAACTCTAAAAAAAACCTTAGCCCTAGACAGTGTCATAATGTTAACTCTAAAAAAAACCTTAGCCCTAGACAGTGTCATAATGTTAACTCTAAAAAAAAAACCTTAACCCTAGACTGTGTCATAATGTTAACTCTAAAAAAAAACCTTAACCCTAGACTGTGTCATAATGTAAACTCTTAAAAAAACCTTAACCCTAGACTGTGTCATAATGTTAACTCTAAAAAAACCTTAACCCTAGACTGTGTCATAATGTAAACTCTTAAAAAAACCTTAACCCTAGACTGTGTCATAATGTGAACTTTAAAAAAACCTTAACCCTAGACTGTGTCATAATGTAAACTCTAAAAAAAACCTTAGCCCAAGACAGTGTCATAATGTAAACTCTAAAAAAAAACCTTAACCCTAGACTGTGTCATAATGTTAACTCTAAAAAAAAACCTTAACCCTAGACTGTGTCATAATGTTAACTCTAAAAAAAAAACCTTAACCCTAGACTGTGTCATAATGTTAACTCTTAAAAAAAAACTTAACCCTAGACTGTGTCATAACGTAAACTCTAAAAAAAACCTTAACCCTAGACTGTCATAATGTAAACTCTAAAAAAACCTTAACCCTAGACTGTGTCATAATGTAAACTCTAAAAAACTTAAAAAAAAAAAAAAAAATAACTAACATAGAAGTTATTAATGTCTAAAAAAAACTTTTACCGTATTCAGGCTTGTAGAGTCCACAGTTTTTTTCTCCAAAACTAATATTGCCAGACAGGGGTGCAGATTATAGAGTACGATAAGCAAGAAATAAGAGAAAAACTATATTTATCGAGAAGTTTGTTCCATTTGGCCATGTTTGTTATTGAAAATGTAGAGGGCACCCTTATAATTTTCAAAACTAATAATTTACCTAATCCATATTAATATGCAATTTTAATTCAAAATCCAATATTAACTGATAGATATCAAAATTAAATGATTCATTACAAATTACTCGTTTCTTTTCATAACATTGCATAACATAAACTGGAATCTGCTTATATTTACTGGAGTGAAAAAAGTATATAAATCAGCCAGGAACTAGCTTATGCATTACAATGTATAAACTACAAAACGTAATCGGTTATTCATTCCGAGTTGGTGTTTCATACTGACATATGCATTTTGTTTTAGCTGAGGATCATTCAAACATTAATTTAATGGATATATGTAATAGTATTTAACTAAAGAATAGAACTGTTTTAGTTTCAAAGTCATATTCTAGTAATAACTATGAAGTACATATTTTCAGCACACTCTCATCGTAATTATTTTCGATTTACAGCTGCTATACAAACTTTCTGTTAATATGAAATACAAAAACAACAAATTTCCAAATTGTTTATTTGTGATTTTGACTTACTCTAACACTCAAAGAGTGTTCTAGAATCATTTACAAGCATTTTCAACTCTGGCAGCCGCAGCCGCCTTTGAAAATTTCATCCCACCTTAGCAGTAGAAAAAATACTTTATGATGGAAAACAGGTTTTTTCCATGAAAATTCCACAAACGATCACACACACGATTTGAAATTACCGTAGTCTCATTAGATTTTTCAAACAGTTACAGGAAGTTTTTCCCTGAATTCTGAAAAGGCGGTGCAGACAATGTACCAGTGCAGACTTTACAAGCCTGAATACGGTACCACAGACTGAACCTACAGCAGTGACAAGGAAGCAATTAAAAGAATGATTAGTGGTTGCACTAACTTTGAAAAAATCTTTTAGAATTATATATATAGTGGATTTCTTTAAATGTCCCTAAAACCACATAAAAAAAACAAAAAACTAGATATCACACAATAACTGGAATGTCCTCGGCTTACAAGGTCCAAGGGCCATAATTCAGTTAAAAGTAAGTCATTCAAATTACATTCACAAACAAAAAGGTTTTGAAACAGCCCTTACCTGTTTTTGCTGCTCAATATAATTCTGAAAGTCTCCCTTGACTGACTACAAAGTCGTCCTGACCTGTTTTTGCTGCTCAATATTATTCTGAAAATCTCCCTTGACTGTCTCCACAACAGCCCTTATCTGTTTTTGCTGCTCAATATAATTCTGAAAGTCTCCCTTGACTGTCTCCACAGCAGCCCTTACCTGTTTTTGCTGCTCAATATTATGCTGAAAGTCTCCCTTGACTGTCTCCACAGCAGCTCTTACCTGTTTTTGCTGTTTAATATAATTCTGGAAGTCTCCCTAGACTGCCTCCATAGCAGCCCTTACCTGTTTTTGCTGCTCAATATAATTCTGAAAGTCTCTGTTGACTGTCACCACAGCAGCCCTTACCTGTTTTTGCTGCTCAATATAATTCTGAAAGTCTCCCTTGACTGTCACCACAGCAGCCCTTACCTGTTTTTGCTGTTCAATATAATTCTGCAAGTCTCCTTTGACTGTCTCCACGGCAGCCTTTACACATTCTCTACAATGGTCTTTCTCTTGGTCTAGTAACTCCCTTATTGATTCCTGTCAAATCATAAGTCATTTATTTAGTATTCAAATTATATCCCCATATATGTCTTCCAATCACTTGTTACAAACACAGTGGAAATTATGAATTCACAAATTAAAAAACTTATTATAATTTTAAACATTTAAAAAAAATAAAACTGCATGTGAGCACTGAAGGGTAAAGATTGCTTTCATTTTGTAATTTGTGAATTTAAAATAAAACATTGAATTGTAATTATAATTGAGTTGGAGTTATCTTCCTTTGTTTGTTAATTGAGTCTACTTTTATAACAGATTCATTCATCATGAATTACGTAATGTAATTTTCAATAAAGAAAAGTTTTTCGACAAATATGGTAATTCAAATACACATCATATTTGTTACTTGAATATCTAAGTATAACATATCATTAATAAATTGCATGAAATTGACTGGATCGGATTAAAGAATGATCACTTCACTGTACTATTTTGTTTGAACTATCAAAGATAGTGATAAACTTTTGAAGATTTAGATATCAAGCCTGTACCATTGATTGCAATCTTTACCTAAACATCAGCATCTACAAATATATGTAATTTCATAGTTACTTTTTGTAATAGAAACAAAATGCAAGATATTGCACATGATGTTGTGCTAAGTATTATGGCAAGCCGTTGTGGAATTTATTCCCTATTTATTAATATTAAAAAATCATTTATTAATATTAAATATTATTTTTTAATATTAATAAATCGATTTTTTAATATTAATAAATATTTTTTAATATTAATAAATAGGTAATTTTTAATATTAATAAATGGGTTTTATTTATTAATATTAAATATTCAATTTTTAATATTAAATATTCGATTTATTAATATTAAAAAATAATTTGTAATATTAAAAAATAGATCCTATTTATTAATATTAAAAAATCATTTTTTAATATTAATAAATCATTTTTTAATATTAAAAATTCATTTTCTAATATTAATAAATGGTCTTATTTTTTAATATTAAAAAATGAATATTTAATATTAAATATTCACCTTGATTTTTTAATATTAAAAAATCATTTTCTAATATTAATAAATACGCCACCTATATATAAGAGTTGTTTGAGCGCTTTTATCTACGATGATCATACGTTACTGCAAGCATGTAGCTGAACTAGATCAGTGGAAAATATGAACAACTAAAATATCTACGAAACACCGGCTTTTATCCTGCTATCAACTAATTGTTGCATAAATAACAAGTTCAAAAATAAAATTTTGTTTATTTTTACTTGTACAAATAAAGCCTCTTGTACTCCACCTCCATATTGAGCAAACGGTAATGAGAATATTTCTGTTTCTGCCGTGACAGTTCAATTTCGATCAACTTCGCGGTCAGCGGTTAAAACTATGTAGATTTTTTAAAAAAAAGTAAAAATTCAGACTTGGATTTAAAAACTAACCATTAAAGCGTCAGTTATAAATTGTAGGATATAAACAATAAATGTACATTGTCGGAAATACTAAATGTATGTGTACTCGCTACTAAGAAAGAAGAGAAAACCTGGAAAAGAGTTGCTTTTCGTTCTGTTTCTAAATCTTGAACAAAATAAGTTTGATTTTAACAGGTAAATGTAATTACAGGTGACCAGATTATCAAAGCTTTACCTGTTATATTCATGATATTGTTAATATTTGACATACGTTTAATTTCAATAACAACTACCCCCAATAAATGGCAAGCTGACATAACAGGAAAAAAGTAATAAAAGTTATTTTTATGACTATTCAAAACAATAAATTAATTCATACACGAAAACGAAATTTTGAAAGATTTATATTCTTACGGTTGCTGTTTTTTTTTTATCTTTTTCTCTAATCTTTTATTCTAATAATCACTTTTTACATTGACTTGCATATTTTAACCGACACGACAAAAATCACAATCCAGTGATAAGAAAACTGTTTTTTTGATTAAATTTAAGAAAGGACTTATCTTTTTAGACAATCAGTTGGGTTTTTTTATTACTGAAATCTATAAAACATTTTTTATGCCCCTGCCGTAGCGGAGGGGGCATTAAGTTTTACCCTTGTCCGTCTGTACGTACGTCCCGAAATTGGTTTCCGTTCTCTAACTTGAGTTTGCCTCAACCAAATGTTATGAAACTTATACACAATGCTTATTACCACAAAACACAGATCAAGTTTGAATTTTGGTGGCGTCACTTTATCTGATCTAGAGTTATGCCCCTTTATAAAAGGAAATATTGCAAAATGTTTAGTTTCCGTTCTCTAACTTAAGTTTGCCTCAACCAAATGTTATGAAACTTATACACAATGCTTATTATCACAAAACACAGATCAAGTTTGAATTTTGGTGGCATCACTTTAACCGATCTAGAGTTATGCCCCTTTATAAATGGAAAAATTGCAAAACTATATGACATTCAACAAGTACCTGCTATAGCAATATGACATTCAACAAGTACCTGTTATAACTATAGGACATTCAACAGGTACCTTCTACAACTATAGGACATTCAAAAAGAACCTGCTATAACTATAAGACATTCAACAAGTACCTGCTATATTTATAGGATATTCAACTACAACATACTATACCAATAGGATATTCAACATTTGCCTATTATAGCTATTGAAAATTCAACAAGTATGTGCTATATCTATAGGACATTCAACAAGTACTTGCTATATGTATAGGACATTCAACCAGAACCTACTTTACCAATAGGATATTCAACAAGTACCTGCTATTAATACAGGACATTCAACAAATACCTGATATAACTATAGGACATTCAACAAGTACCTACTATATCTGTAGGACATTCAATAAGAACCTTCTATACCAATAGGATATTCAACAAGTACCTGATATAGCAATAGGACATGAAACAAATACCTGCTTTAACTATAGGACATTCAACAAGTACCTGCCATGACTATATGATATTCAACAAGTACCTGCTGTAACTGTAGGACATTCAACAAGTAACTGCTTTAACTATAGGACATTCAACAAATTCCTGCTATAACTATAGGACATTCAACAAGTACCTGCTATAACTATAGGACATTCAACAAGTACCTGCTATGACTATAAGACAAGACATTAAACAAGTAACTGCTATATCTATAGGATATTCAACACGTGACTCCTAAATCTATAGGCCATTCAACAAGAACCTACTATATCAATAGGATTTTCAACAAGTACTTGCTATAAATATAGGACATTCAACAAGTACTCTTTATAACTAAATGACATTCAACAAGTTCATACTATAAAAAGCAAATTCAACACGTAACTACTATATGTTTAGGACAATCAACGAGAGCCTACTATACCGATAGGATATTCAAAAAGTACCTGCTATAGATATAGGAAATTCATCGAGTACCTGCTATATCTTTAGGACATTCAACAAGTAACTGCTATAACTAAAGGACATTCAACAAGTACCTTCTATAACTATAGGACATTCCAAAAGTACCTGCTATGACTATAAGACATTCAACAAGTACCTGCTATACCAATAGGATATTCATCAATTACCTATTATATCTATAGAACATTCAACAAGTACCTGCTTTATCTGTAGGACATTCAACAAGAACCTACAATACCAATACGATATTCAACAAATACCTGCTATAACTATAGGACATTCAACAAATACCTGATATAACTATAGGACATTCAACAAGTACCAACTATATCTGTAGGACATTCAATAAGAACCTAGTATACCAATAGGATATTCAACAAGTACCTGCTATAGCTATAAGACATTCAACAAGTACCTGCTTTAACTATAGGACATTCAACAAGTACCTGCTATAACTTTAGGACATTCAACAAGTACCTGCTATGACTATAAGACAAGACATTAAACAAGTACCTGCTATATCTATAAGATATTCAGCACGTAACTCCTAAATCTATAGGCCATTCAACAAGAACCTACTATACCAATATGATTTTCAACAAGAACTTGCTATAAATATAGGACATTCAACAAGTACCTTTTATAACTAAATGACATTAAACAAGTTCATACTATAAAAAAGCAAATTCAACACGTAACTGCTATATGTCTACACTGAAAATTTAAATTAGTCACTATGACTATTCAGTTAGTCAAATATTAGCCGAAAGGTAGTCAACAGCATATATGACTACCCATCAAGTCATTATGACTACCTGCATAGTCAATTGACTATGTTAGGTGGTCACAGCACCACGTGGTGTAGAGTATCGGTTTTCACGCGCACTCTTTCGCGTTCCCTTTGTTCCCTAGATCGTGTAGATGTAAACAAACCAGGAGGCACGAAACTGCTATTTTGTCAATTAAACCAATTGTTAAAAGTAAGTATCATGTACATTTGTTTTAATTCTAACTTACAAAAATTAAATTTGAGAAAAAGAAGTGTAATGAATGTAATATATCGGCACATGTTGACGTAAATTAATGACAATACAAAACAGAGGGAGATATGTATACGGAATATCAATTTGATACACATACAACGTATTTTCGATTGAAAAGAGTATTTAGCGATATCTATTTTTCACCTGATCAAAAACTGTTAAAAATAAACACTGCAATCGATATTCACAACAATGAATTAAAAAAAAAAAACCTCAGGGTAGCTGTCAAGATCCTGGTGCTTACATTACAATGCTGTGATATAACATGGGTGGCTGTCAAGATCCTGGTGCTTACATTGCAATGGTGTGGTATAAGATGGGTAGCTGTCAAGATCCTGGTGCTTACATTACAATGTTGTGTTATAAAATGGGTGGCTGTCAAGATCCTGGTGCTTACATTACAATGTTGTGTTATAAGATGGGTGGCTGTCAAGATCCCGGTGCTTATATCACAATGTTGTGGTATAAGATGGGTGGCTGTCAAGATCCCGGTGCTTACATTACAATGTTGTGGTATAAGATAGGTGGCTGTCAAGATCCTGGTGCTTACATTACAATGTTGTGGTATAAGATGGGTGGCTGT